TTGTAGTTCCTTATTGGATTTTTCTTTACTATTTATACCATGTTTTCTGTAACAAAACTGTTTTGTGACATCTAGTCTTGATTGATTGATTTATTGTTCACAAAGTGTTCCTGAATTTTACATTTTTTTTCTGTGTTGGAAAACATTATTTCTTGCTTTTCTTCACTGTTTTGTTTTGCCCAACTTCTAATTCAGTGTGGAACATTTACTACCATGTAAGAGTATTTGAACATTTTTGAAATTAAAGGAAATCAAAAGAGTTATCCATGTTATTCTATTCCATCCATCCTTTTACCATGGATAAATTATAGGAGTGTAAGTGCCCATTTATGGTTTGTTGTGTACAGTACAGTACAGAACTCAAGTAAAGATAAAACGCATATGCTATGGTAGCCAGAGGTATGAGATACATAATAAGTTGGGAAAACAAATCTTACCATAATGATATTTATGCAAAGATTACAAAATCACAAGATAATAGACAAGAAGAATTGGACAATGTGATAAAAGATCTAAGAAAAATTTACCTGATGAACACACAAGTATTTTTTGGTTTACTTTTCTCTCTAAAATACTTATTATGAAATAATATAGGTATTGTCATTAGTGTTAAGAGGTGATTGGGTGAGCTCAAACATCATTATTTTTCATTCTCGAAGAGGGTACATTTCCTCCTTGTATACCTATCACAGCTCTTCCTGTATCTTTTAAAGGAGAAAGAGAGAACTTTTTTCTTTCAACTGGTTCCATACACTTATAATAATGACTAATTTAGCACATTTAAATGAATGTAATAAATTTCCTGAATACATTTTAGAACCAAAAAATACCATATCCAACCTGATTTTCAACTTGTGCTTAATAGTGTGATTCATAAATAATTAATAAGACGATGTACTGTTTCTTCATTCTGTTGGCTTTATAACATGAATTTATGATAAGATAACTAAAGAGTTACAAATTGTACTTATCTAAGTACTAGAAATGTGTAGCCAGTGGCAACAGTACACAATCACCATCCTGAGGAGGTTTAGGTGAGAAAAAGTAAGTCAGAGTCTTATATTTGTACAATGAAATATAACATTTATAGACTTGTTAAAAATAATTACTTAGTAGTTCATACACTTTAAGATATTTATTCTTTAGAATATTTAAGTAAAATACTTACTTGAATTTTTCTGTCTAATAATGATTAGGCTGACTTTCTGGAGTTGACTTCTAGGGGTTGACTGATCACTGATCATATTTTCAATCTGCTTTTTTATGTTTCATTGGTATATAATGTGTGGGTGTAAACTTAAGTAGATTATACATTAAATCAGTTTTCTTTCTTAATACGTATTAAGACGTTTTTGAACCACATACCAACTTTTACACATACATGTTAGAATTGTTGATGTGAGCTTAGGAATCTGCTTTCCTTCTATACTGTAGTGATACTTAAAAGCCTGCATGGATAATTAGATTTTGTGCTTTCCTTGAAGTTTGTTTTTATGACAGTATGTAGAATTAAGCAAAATAGTGTTAAATAACAACTTTTATCATTTTAAATTAAATTACCTAAAGTGGAATATTGGTTTTGGTAGTTAGTAAATCAGATGTCATTATTTTTGTTTTGATTTATTTTTTATTGTTATATTTTCATTATAAAAATTGTTTTTACATTGTTAGCTTAAAATATGTGTTTAGGACGAACTTAACTTAGTGCAGTTAACTCTTTCAGCATGGGGCTCAGTCCCAGGGACTGACTTCATAATCATTTTGTGCTTCTTATAGTTTTCATGATGTAACTTTTAAATTGGTAAGCATGTCTTCATTAAATTTTGCATATTACCAGTGAACATTACAAAGCTTTTGTACACAAAAAATCTAATTTTTTTATTAAGTTTTAAGATTTCTTAAGTAATATTTTTTCTCATGTCTTTTTTTTTTCTTTCGAATGTTGACTATCCAACCACATTTTAATATTAAAATACTTTCATGCATCAGAAAAGTTTCAAATTTCACATGTGAAATCTTTATAACCTCCAAATAATTATCAAGCATTTTTTCAGAAAAAACTTTATTTTTTATCTGTTATTGAAGAGGTGGGCAGGGCCACCTTGGTTGATTCAG